CACACACACACACACACACACACACACACACACACACACACACACACACACACACCAGCGTTACCAAGGCTACAGCCACATTCAGTCCAGTAACTCAAGAGGCTCTCCATGGTAATAACACGGCATGATATTCTTTCTATGCTGGATGGAGAGGTCTTCGTTCTTTAAAAAAAGCAGCTACTCTTTTCTTCTGCTTCACTGTAGGGAATGTTCTGGCATTCAGACTGTACACATCGAGGAGTTCTTTATTTTTTATTATTTATGTAAGCGATGATTGTTTCCAAAGTGCCTCATAAGTGTTGGTTACAGATTGACAGCTTCCAACTCAGGAAGCAATTATTTGGTGTCGGAGATAAAAGTTGGGATACGTCAGCACAAACAGCCCGTGGATCCAGAGTTTTTTAATTAGTGTCGTGTATCTCCAGCTCTGAGAGGCCAATTAACATCAACCATTGAAGAAAAGTCATCTAGCCACAAGTGTGTGCGTGTGTGTGTGTGTGTGTGTGTGTAGCTGGGTGTGTTTGTGTGTTTAAGAAGTCAGCGCTGATTTTATTGACCTCTGCAACTTTTTTTTTGGACAGCGTGTCCTGAATTAGTAATTTCAAAATGTTGCTTCCTGTGGGGAGGTTGTGTTTTTGTATTTTGTTTATATTTGTTTGTACTTTAATTTAATTTAATTTATGCTTGACGCGCTGCAGCAACAAGTTCAAGGATCCATCTGTTTATTTTTCCAAGTATGATYAACCACGAACAAATACGAAAAATAAAATAAAATATCTGCACTTAAGAGTGAAATTCAGTGGAGTTAATTTTGTATTTTGGTGTGATAGTTGTGTAATGTGAATTATGAGGAGATATTGTTTAAATTTGAATAATTTCTATTGTTTTTGTTGCATTTATCTCAACACTGTCTGAGCTACTTGTCATTCACTTGACATTTCGATGGGTTATTTACATTTTCCGTGTTTTTCTTGTTTGTTTACAGGAATTCCCAGGTTTACCAGCCAGCCCTYGCCAGCCTCCGTTCATGTCGGGGACAGTCAGGTGATGGCGTGTGAGGTGAGCTATGAGCTGGTGCCTTTCACCCGCTGGGAGAAGGACCGCCAGCCGCTGGAGCTGAGCGCCAGGCTGACGCAGCTGCCAGGCGGGGCTCTGGTTATCAGCAACGCCTCGGAGGTGGATGCTGGTCTTTATCGCTGTCTGGTGGAAAACGTTGGCTCTTCCAAGTCCAGCGATGAGGCCCAGCTGCAGACCATACCAGGTAAATCAGGGCCATGTGGTCAAACTTTGATATATTGTTCTTTAGGAAGAAATATTTTTGTTCCATTGTGTGGAACTTATTAGAGYTGTGCACTTCTGAAGCGTGGTTGATATGWTGTATAAYTTGATGTGAYTGATAAAAACTACAGGGTGAGTMAAAAGTCTCAAGACACCCATTTATTTCAGAAACATAAGAGAAAATGAAAAAAAAAAMYGAGTACCTCCAGYAAATAATGGGTGARGGGGTTCWTCTTTTAGGCCATGTCCTAAACACKTCCGCCATGCTTGAAAAGCYGCATTATTGGATGAAAGTCAAAATTTTCCAATGGGAAGGTGTAGGGCTGAAACAATTCCTCGAATAATTCAATTACTAAAAATCCTYTGGGCAAATTATCTGCCTCRAAGCTTCATAAAAAGTAGGTCCTGTTTAAGTCTGCACGTTTGCCGTCCGGAATGTTATTTGAGTTACACAACWCTACGRCATTAGCGCTTACGSTAGCAGATACACTGTTGACGAGTGTACTAAGGGATATTTTTAGCAATGGAAGGAGAYGGAGTCCCGAAACGAGGCACTCAGAAAACGACAGAAGTTGTGAAAAATGTGGGATAATTTAAAATGAAACATAAAAGACGACAAATCGCAATCCGCTGCACGTCCTCGATGTTTCTGCACCGGAATAAAAACAGCTGATACATGTACCGAACTCGTCCGGAGTTAACAGGTTTCGTTCACGTTCCCTTTCTGACTGATCATAGGCTACGTTCACACTGCAGGCAAATCCAACCCAAATCCGATTTTTTTGACCCATCTGACTCATCTGATTTTTTTATGACAGTTCTGAACGCGACAAATCCGATTTTTTCAAATCCGACCCAGGCCGTTTCAGTATGTGGTTTTAAATCGGATAAATATCTGATGTTTTCAAAGTGACTGCAGTGTGAACGCTCATGTCACATTCATCTGACTTTTTCATCAGGAGGAGGTGAAGGATCGATAAGACACTAACCTCAAGTCTCGCTGTTTAAATCTGTAGCTCCATGTGTTTACAGCTCCAAAACACAAGTCCAGTTGCTTCATCTTTTTACTTTTCATTTTCCACGTAGATAGTATGATAATAATGGTTCCAGCCTGGGTCGCGGAGAGTATCGATCCTAAAGTTAGATACTCGGTCGATACTTTTTCCAGCTCGTAGTTTCGTTAAAAAAAAAAAGCTCCACTGGAGCATCCCGGTGAGAGGCAGCTTCAGATATAAACACTGAACTAAAGAAACATGTCAGATAATTATTTAATCGGCTCTGATTAAACAACAACTTCCGATTCGATGCGCAAAATGTAGCATCCATGCTAGCTSTGTAAACAAACAAGCCGGCTGATGAGACGTCACGTCTTTTACTGCGCATGCGTGTCACATCAGTGCTGAGTAGTGTTCACACAGGGGTCTGATGCAGGTCACATTTAAAAYGTAAAGTGAACGTTCACACAAAAAGATCGGATTTTTTCAAAAAATCGGAACTGAGCATTAAGACCTGCAGTGTGAACGTAGCCATAGTGACTGCCTGACAGAGTTTTATTTAACAGTGTGGAAGTTCTGTGATCAAAACAACCCTTAAGTGTGCAGCAACAGACTGAAAGCATGAGCTGAAACACATTTATCTGTTGATGCTTCTGTCTTAACTTAAMTAAGATACCTGGAGTGAATATTTCAAGTTTAAATGTCTTTATAGAAAATAGGATTTGTTTCCTTTTTGCTGCTGCTTTTAATGACTTTGAAACCTGTCATTAGCCTTCAGTAATTACTGCTGTCATATATAGATAACCAGTCAAGACTAAAATGGGAACCCTGTTCCAATCTAATAACAATCTTAATAAAAATATGATTTTACTTTTACTATTAACAATAACATTTGAACTCTACAAAGCTCAATGTGCAACACCCACATTTTTATATTACCCAGTTTACTTACTAAATTTCTAACATAAAAGATCACATTCGGTTTTCTAATCCATATAAATGAATTAAAATAGTTTAGCTTTTTCTGTGATGGTTAAAATGATTCAATGACAGAGAGCTTTTCAGTAAAGCCTGCTCARACCTCACACACATAAATATAAACAGCTTAAAATGCATGAATTAATACAACTGATATTGTAATTTTACTTTGATTGCAGCAGGATCGTCAGCAAATGTAGATTACCCCTTCACAATTGTATTTGTCATAAAATACACTAAAGTAATTACTGCAGAAGATGAGAATCTTTTTAATCCGATTACTTGATCAATCAGAATAATCGATAGATTAATCAATTACTAAAATAATCGTTAGCTGCAGCCCTACAAAGGTGGTCATGTAGCATTTTAAAAACTGGAGTTTTCTCAGCAATCGATTGCCGCAATCAGATTTGCAATATCTCTTGTGGTTTGAAAGTTAACAACACTGAAATTTGCTGGGAATGTTGCCTATTATTTGATGTATTTAGAGTGCTTTATCTGGTGCTGAAAACAACATTCTGGTTGTTTTTGTTATGCTAAATGACCACCTTCCCAATGAAAAAATTTGACTCCTATATGGTGGCTTTCAAAGTGGCGGCCATGTTTTGGACATAGCCTAGAAGATAGCCAGATTCCATTTCTTCAGTGAATACCTGTTGATCAAAGGTTTTCACTATTTAATTTGGCTTTTGACAGTTGTTGATCCGTTACAATATACTTCAGGGCATCATTTAATTATAGAAGTCCATGTTTCTTTGTTGTTGTTTTTGTAGTAGCTYATTATTTTTAGCATTAAGAGACCGGCCTGACTTGGATAAAAAATGGTTTAATGCTATAAGGAGTGTCTGATTCCCATTAGGGCTATAAGCAACGTAACCATAACTCAGCCRTTGCACAAAAGGAGGCAGGATTCCATCGTGGCAGGGTCTCATCTCGCTCCTCTAGAAGTTTTATTGACGGAGTTTACACCAGGCTCCAACCAACGCAGAGAAGATATTAGAGGCCGTAACTCAGGCTTCAACAAGACCCCTGTGGGGTTCTTCATCCTCAGTATGCCTCCTCTGAGGCTGTGTGTTGGCCTGGCAAATAGATGGGTGCATACAGGAGGTAAACTCATAAATCTGTCAGAGGAAATTAAAAGAAAACGAGTTTGGAACCAGATAAATAGGCCACATAAATAAGTTTGTTGCAACACATGAGCCTGGCATCAATGGGTATTTCCACTGAGAGACAATAAATGAGCATTTCAAACTTTGTTTATCTTTTACACCAGTTTACTGCGCTTTGTAAAGTTGTGTTTAAAAAACACCCACTAACGATGAATGAAGAAAATGTCTTCCCAATAGAGGCCCAGATCATTTTAACCTTCTGTTTACTGAGAGATGATACTCAGGCAGTWAATTACAGCTGGAGTGAAGCTCTGAACTCATGCAAAGACTTTAGCTGAGTTAGATATTATTCATCCGAGGCTTCCTGGTTCTGGTTTCAGAACTTGCTACTGGATTTTAAACAGCGGTGGGTACAGTTCCTCTAATCTGCTAACAGCTAATAGCAGAGCTAACCTTTCGTTTAGCTGATTAGCATTTTTGCTAACTTTGGAAACAATTAGCGAACCAATGGGCTTCCACTTAATTAAAATTTGTTAACTTTAATTTCGTTAACAAAAACAACTACCCCCAAACGCATGCGGCACTGCACGGGAGCGTGTAGCACCTTTAGCATTTTTCAATTGAGTTGCTTGTGGTCTTAATTGTGTTTGGTGGACATAAAAAATGGTTYTTATGAGCTTTTAGCCAAGATTCTAATGTTTTTGTGAATACCACAGGTCAACACATTTGGTCCGCTTTAAACAGACCAGAGTTCGGTTCCCCTGATGATCTGGACCTTTTATGCAGGTGTGAATACACTCATGTGAACCCTGGTGTGGATCAAACAACTGGACCTAGACCCATTTTTGAGRTGGTCWCGGTCCACTTCCAAATGAACTCTGGTCCGCTTCTGGTGTGTATACAGACCGSCCTCGAACCGTACCAGCTACAGGAAACATGTCTTTTTGGACTTCACGGGCCACCATAGCTAAGCAACATTAGCCCTTCAGTGTTGCTAATGCTAACAAACAGTGAGCCGTTGTGGGTCAGGGAACGCAGAGCATCTTGTCTCTTCTGGGTTGCAGCACACACTTGACAACACTGTCCCAAAATTATATCATCAACAAACCTCCACTGAATGAGCTGCTCTTGATATTCTTAAAAGTTTGCAAGTTATTCTGCACTTGCCATTATATTTTAGTTTGTGGATTAGCATTAGCAAAGCTAACTTTAAGCTAACTAACTGCAAGCCTCAGAGTTAGGTAAACTTTGCTTCCCACTCACACACAGCCTCAACCTGCACTGTTTTTTAAAATTAATTAATTAATTAATTTATTTATTTATTTCAGAAACTGGAGAGGAGAGGAAGCTGGAGTTCCTGGTGCAGCCGGTTGCTGTGACCAAGCTGCTGGGCACCAGTGTGTTGCTGCCCTGTGTGGTCGCTGGTTTCCCTGCACCTCACATTCGATGGATGTTTGGAGACAAACCGCTGGAGGAAAGGTATGACCATGGTCTTAGGCTATAGACCTTTTGTTTTGTTTTGTTTTTACGTTCGATAATGTTTGTTCTTGTGTGCATGTGTTCTGGTGTGATGTAAGCAAAAATATCTCATGAAGCACCTGAACTTTAGTAAAACTTTTAGAAAATAATCATGAGACGTACACCTACAGTGGTTGGTAATATCTGACCTAGCTTTAAGAAAACTTGCAGAGGATATATAAACCACACTGATTTGAAAGCTCCTGGTCAATGTGTTTGTCCTGCCACCTGAGGTKTTAATGCTTCTCTGCCACTGCTACCCCAAGAGCTCCACAGGCCGCATTTGCAAACCGAGCTCCTTCATCTGGGTACGCCGGGCCGCCGGGTCGCCGGCCGAAGGGAAGTTCGTAAATAAAGAGCCGAGACAGAGCGCCACAGCTCCTGTGCTCTCACTCCTCTGGCTCTTATTAGCTGAGGCAGTGCAGCTGAAACGTCCTAGGAGAGAAACCACGCTGAACGTGGGAAATTTGATTCTTGCCAATTAAGAAAGCACTTTGTTTACCTTGCCCCTGTGTGTGCTGGTCCTGCAGGATAACAAGGCTGCAACTTGTGTGTGTGAGGGGGGTGGCGGTCAATAAAAAAAACTGAAACTGGGCTCATTTATCTAAATCCACCACTTCTGAATGGGACTTTTTGCCTTAAAGTGAAATTAAAAGCAGGGCTGTCACATTGTTAACCACAAGGCTCCGGTGTAGCGTGAGCGAGAATGTCATTAGCCTGTCGAGCAGATAGTTCAAAGCACGGCTCCACATTTCAAGTCCAATGTCTTTAATAGCTGTGGAATTGTCTGAGAGTGTTCTGACCTCCAAAGGGAGCTGGCTAAAATGATACTTATTAATCTGCCTTGTATTAATTAGAAAATAACATCCAGTGTGGATACCCCCCACCACTGCCACCACCTYGGGTGTTGGTGTAGGTAATTAGCAAGCATACCGAACAATCAGGGAAGTCTTCCTGACGGGGACTGAAAATGGCTGCAGCAGGAATGAATGGTGTGGCTAATGCGTTTTTAAGACTGCGTTGTGATTTGAATACAATATTGTCARTTTAAAAGAACACCAGTGGAATATCCCTTTATCGCCTCGCACAACGCTGCGAAGACATCAGGGGCGAGGGAGAGAAGCTGCTGTCAATTAGACGCACTGAAACTGAGGCAGGAACTCTGAAGAGAGCGTCTGATGGGTCTGTGGTCGTCAGAGGAGGAGATGCTGAAGCTGTGTGCGTGAGATGAAAGTTGATGAAAGTGTGTTAGAGCTATCAGCTGAAWGCAGAGTGACTTCCTGATGCCAGGGTTTGACACATTAAGCTTCTTCCACTGATGCTTCAGCTTGGTTATGTCTCTTCCTTTTTTTTTACCTCTATGAACTCAGTGAAACAGCAGCCTGGTGTTTTTTTTATCATCAGGCACATGGAATTCAGGCGACTTTGTGTGTGTGTTTGTGTGTGTGAAGTGTAGCATTGGATTTTTAATTCTCTGGTAATTCTTTAGCAGTCACTCCATGTGGTGACTCCACAKATGTATGACCAGGCATTTACTGTAGCTAGAGGGACGTTGAGCCATTGTAAGGACAATCCGTTTGGTTTTCTGACGTCTTCTTTAGCTCAGAGACACCTCAGGTCACCTTCAGGTCACTGTGCTGATCTTTGAGWTTTAACAGAATCRTCSTTTAGTAASTAAGTAAGTAAAGTTTTATTTATAAAGTGMCTTTCATAGAAATAAATTCACAAGGTGCTGTACAATCATCAACAATGTATAATGGCAGGAAGACATWATAAAACATCAAAACAAGACAMAATARATTCTAAATTATTCTAAATTTTGACTCAGAAACAGGTTGTAGGCCGAGCACAACAAGAGATGAGTGTTATGCATGCAAGACTGTAGAAATCAGAACARGAAAATGGTTCTGGAATAAAAAGGGGGAGAGAATTTTTGCCGTATMTTCAATAATACAAAACACGTGGTAGGCGAGCAGACACTAAAGGGTTAGGCTGCAAATAATGGTGGATGATTAGCTAAAAGCTTGAGTAAAGAAGCGRGTTTTTATGTGTTTCTTAAAAGAGACAATAGCTGTGTTTCCATTGCAAATGTACGCAAAACTTTGTCGATATTCTGTTAATGTCGTAAAAACACAGTATCGCAATTGCAGTGTTTYCATTAAGTAAGAAACGCTATTATTCATGCGTGAATACGTTTGTTCTTGCGATAAGTCATTACAAACATGGCGGCAGTGGATGTAAACACATAGCATATTGCTCCCACGACACTAGCGCTCATCATCAGAGGAGAGGTCGGCGTCTTATCAAGGCTTTCGAGCGACGAGCCCCTTATAGAGTGGCTACATGCTGCGCTTTTGGGAAAATGTAGTCGGTGAGTTTACTACTTTTTTTTACTACTTCATTGATTTCACTACTACTTTTACTTCCTGTTATCTTCTTCATCGTCTTTTTCGCCAGTAGAAACAGCCGGTTCATGATCACGTGACTCCCGTGATACGAAAAAAGTGTTTCCATTGCAGTTTTGTGAAATACATCAATTTCAATACGGCCGAAAAACCACCTCATCCTAGCGCAAAAACATTTAGTCGAAAAATGTAGTTTTTTTTATTTTTTTTCAAAATTGACGTGTTTCCAATGAGCAAATTTATTTTTGAAATTCTAATTTGTGCATTTTCATGGTAAATGGAAGCGCAGCTTATGTTATCAAGGGAGCGTAGATGAACAGGGAGTTCATTCCAGAGCCTGGGGACCACAGAGGAGAAAGCACGGTCACCGCGGGTCTTAAAGCAAGTATGGGGAACCACAAGGAGATTCTGATCCTGTGAGYGTTGGTCCCATCTGGGGTTGTACGGAAAGTTGAGACTTTTAATATAGTCGGGCGCTTGGTTTGAGAGCTCTGAAAGTGAGGACCAGCATTTTGACCCTGATTCGGAAGTGAACAGGAAGCCAGTGAAGTTCCGATAGGACCGGGGAGATGTGGGAGAATTTGGAAGTTCGGGTTCGGCTTTAGTGTTTTCCTCCTCTGAACTTTGTTAGCAGTGGTGGGGCAGACTGTAGAGGAAAACATCTAAAGTGTAAATGATGCCGGCTTGGATAGAGGAGGTGGGTAGTGACTTYACAGCTTCAGCAGCGCTTGTTGTGTTGGTCCAGGTCCGTTCTTAACCTTTCCCCCAACGTAAATTTAGTAAACYTCTGTTAGCTTCACAAATGGAGAAGGGGCTAGCTTAAAAGTGTYGACGCCTTCTTCCAAAATCCTACTTAAAAGACTGTGTATGACTTTTATTCTTCTTTACACTGAACAAAAAAATGTAAATGCAACACTTGTGTTTTGCATGATGCGTTGATGTTGCAWGTTTTGAGGGAGCGTGCAGTTGGCTTGTTGACTGCAGATATGTCGACCAGAGCTGTTGTCTGTGAMTTGAATGTTCATCCCTCTATCAKAAGTCRTCTMCAAAGGCRTTTCAGAGAATTAGGCAGTACATCCAACAAATCCACACAATCACAGAGCACGTGTAACCACACCAGCCCAGGACCTCCACATCCAACATGTTCGTCTGAGACCAGCCACCCRGACAGCTAAGGGTTAAAGAGGGATCAGTAGAGTCGATTTATAGAAAAAACAAAAAGAGCTTTAMAAAAAGTCAGGAACAAGGTTTTTGACTGACAGTGATAAAATGTTTTTTTTTTTTATTTTGAGATGTTATTAAAATTAGCTCTGATTGGTTATTGTTAAATATCTGTGAATGCAGTTTGAAATACGTCAGTTATAAAATAATGCACGATTCAATGTTTAACTGCACCAGTGTGTTTTTCCTTGCTATTGGATTATTTTATTTTTCTCTCTTTTTYGTGGTGCCGTGAGGCATTTGCAGCACCTTGATCTAAGCAAACACACAATGTTCTTGAAGTGAAATTATATTTGAGTCAAAATGCCTTTAAATTCTAACAGTGTAGGGTTTTTAAACATCAAGGGTCTAAATTTAATGAAAAATACCCATTAAATATTAATATAAACCAGTGGAGTAAAGTGATACTGGTATCATACTTACATACAGATTTTCACAGCAGGAACTTCTGATTTTTTATGAAACTTCTCTTTTAGCTTCACTCAGACCAATAAAACTGATATTAAATCTCATCCAGAGTCAATTTTTAAACTGGTTCGGTCACAGTGGGTGGGATTCAGTATTTGATTTTGAAACTTTCTTTGTTCTGTAAGCTTTATCCCCTATATGTATTTTTTATTGCACTGAAATTCTGCTTCWGTATTGTGATATTCAGTATATATTTTCCTCATTGTACTTTTAAAGCTACGATTAAATGCACAATGAAATCAATCAAAGGCGTTTTTCCAATGTCTTTTACGAAATTTGATTTCTGCCTCCAGTCTTCTCGTCTCCTAGAAAGACACGACTGGATCAACTGTCTTTCAAGGGAAGGTGGAAAAAAGAAGCTGCTGGCGTCTTTTGGGACAAGTCGGTCCTTTCAGAGTTTATGTCTGTAAATGAGAAAAGAAAAGCAATCACACCTGCTGCTCCTGGTTCGTCTCATCAGACGTTTAGCAGACTAATGTAGCTGAAACGCAATAAACCTGCAAACGTTGAGTCATCACTACAGAGCTAATTCAGATCTGTTTGTGTGCTCATTTTTTGTTCTGATCCTTCCCTCAGCTTCAGCCCARGTTTGTTCCTAAAGACCYCGAACGCACCATTTATTTAGATGAAGGCTGAGCAACAGGGTGACACATTATACATCGCTCTGAGCCGTTCGGTCAACATTTATTCATCGCGAGCGCCCTGCGTGTCATTGATAGCATCCCAAGGTATCAGTATGCAAAGAGGAACCGGCCCTTTGAGTTTCCTCCTACGTGCCGGTCTGGATGACACTCAATAAAAGGACAGTCATCTTTTGTTCTTATGAGTATCGCTCCATCACCCGACAGAATTCCCCAGCAGTCAATA